ATAACGAAGCCCGCAAAACACAGCCTCCGTTTGCGCACGGTGGCCTCGATGGTTTCCTCGCAGCCGGCCTGGATGAGGGCCTGGGCGTAGGACAGGGGTCGGTCTGAGCGCTTCCGCTTGCTCCAGCCGATACACCGTGTCAGGAACTGGCGGTGGGTCCCATTCAGCTTGGTGTAGTGCTCCGCTGCCAGGCTCCACGAGGCGCACCCGTATAGGAGGGTCTGCACCACTTCAGCCTGGAGTAGTCGGATCTTGAGCTGGCGGTTGGCCCCATGGTATCGCTTCCGGTCTTTTCAACCCACTCTCTATGCCGCAGTACAGCCTGGCTATTCCATCCCTCAAACATCTTTCTGCACCTTCCCTCCACTTTGCCCAGGTCGGTCGTGTATTATTTCCTCTCCTTCTAGTACAACAGACATTCCGCAGCTACATGAACACGGTCTTCGCACTCGGATCCACAATCAATCACATCTGAACTTGTCTTATTCATCTTCTTCGTTCCGAAATCTTCGTCTACTTTCTCGAAGGCCGTTGTCCCCGGTCCTCAATTTGATCTTCAGCTTTGTCCCTGAATCCATTGATCCTTGTAGGTACTCCTTGAACCCTTTCCCTCTTTCATCATTCATTCCGTACACATCTAGACACTCTTATCCTTGGTTTCTTTGTTTACATTATGTTCTCTCTCAGAAAAAGCAACAGATATCTTCTCCTTGAACCCCGCTAGACCTTCCGTTTCCAATGTATCACCTTCGTCAATTTTTTATTCTTTCCGCACGTCCTCTACAACCTTGACTGATTCCGTTGATTGTCTACCCCTCTTATTGTTTGCCCACTTCGCTTCCCAAGCTAGTCTTGGCAACCTCTCCTCTCCCATACCGCACATACGGTACTGCCATTTGCCATTTTAGCTTCCTTGAGCGTCTCTTCCCGATCGTAGGGATTGGATCCTCAGTTATGCCCCGACGGCTGCAATACGAGTTCGCTTGGAGCGCATTCTAAGATGTTTTTCGCTGCTTTCATGTGCGCCGCCTCGAGCTCATTGACTTCCTTCATATTTCCTTCCCGTACCTCTCCAGCGTACTCTAGCGACGTTACGACTACTCGCTTCAAAACTGTCAATTGTGATGCGTGTATCGGCGGTTTACGAGTGTTGGGTGCAACTTCCCTGCTCGTGCTTCGCCCTTTTCCGCTAATGCTTTGTGCTTTCTATGAGCAATGTTTTCGATCGCTCCTACGAGATGCGTATACGGGTCCACTACTGCAAGCTCCTCCACCCCCCACTTCCATCTATACTCTAGTGGTTTCTCCTTGTCCTCGATGGGTGCCATGACGGGGAGGACGGAGGACATGAAATGTCAGCATTGCAAACCAGCCCACTTGTGTGGTTCGGGCAGGCATGGCGCTGCCGGTGTACCTGTTTGGTCTGTCGACTGGTTTTCACTGACGTGGTGGCGGAGAGAAAGATGTGTGACCGGCCTCGCCCCCCCCCCCTCTCCAAGTTTGGGGTGTGTGACATCCGCCAATCCAGAATTCTGAGCGCAACAACAGCAGGAATGGAAGGTCTACGTTTCGTGAGAAGCGGAAGAAGACAGTCTTGTGCGTCTTTTAGGACTACCCGCTCCGATCTCTGCACGGCACCTTCTAATACCCGCAATTGTCCAACTGACGCGCACGTCCCTACGTAGCTACCCACGAATCATAAGAAGGATTACCGTCCCGTCCATGGACAATTTGCTGGTCTATGCCAACAGGCAAGAAGGCGCTCATCGAGTGTGCCCAGCCACAAGGCTTATCTGTAACCCGTCCGTCTGCTATTGAGGGCGTCAGTGTGGTGTCTACGGAATGTGTGAATACTGACGGCTCGAGGAATGTGTTTTTTTGGAGGGGTTGGTCCTTGATGGACGTTCTGTGAACGGAGAGTCCATACTGCTAGCTGTGATAAAGTGACGGTGAAAGAAGGTAATCTCCAAACAAGAACGTATGAACGTGATTGGTATCGTGCGTCGCCATACCTGAGTATACAGGAAAATTCATTGCGGAACAGGGGAAACAACACTCGCGGTAGTGGGCGAAGACCCAATCTCGAATACATCCACCATATGCAACACGCGATTAGTACAGAGGAAGAAAATTGTTGCAAACGTATGTTGCACAAGGTCTTGGGCCGGAAAAACACGACCGCTTCTCAAACCGCGATTGCTACATACGTTTGCACGCACGTTTTGTGCAACTTCGCTGCCAAGGAACCGCACGTCACTCTCGGCGTTCGAATGCTGATTGGCCGGCGGCGTTTCGGCCGTTGGGATTTCACCATCCTCGTATCAACTGAACGCAGTGGCATCACATGTCCTGACAAGGCTACGAACGTGATGTCGCGCGCGGCGCTGACTGCATAGTCCATTGTGTTTTGCCGCCGAATTGACACAGCATCTGACGGAAGCAAGGAAGCACATCGACTCAAATTCCACATCGCTGGTACGATACTTCGTAGTCATCAACGAATACTCTGGCATCAGTTTGTCATCGAACTCAAGTTGGCGTCAAACCCTGATAGAATTTTTCCGACCATCATCCTGCCCGGAGACTTTTGCGCCAAGGACACCTCGAATACGCCCAACATCATGGAAGCACTACTGTACAGGTTGCTCATGCTATAAAACAGATGTTTTACCAGAAAACTATAAAACCGTTGTTCTTTAAAACTGTTGCTACCACAAACCGTTGACACCAGAAAACCGTTGATACTATAAAATGGTCGTTTCCATACAACCGTCGTGCTTCTATAAAGCCGCGCAGGCCATCACCACAGATCATCAATGATGTGTCAAAAAAACAACAATCACAGAGAGCATACAAGGATGTTTCTAAAACACGAGTCTCAGTCTGCAACCCGGTACAACAGGAAGAGCCCGGGCCTCTTCGGCACAGCTCGGGCCTCTTCGGCATAGGCCGGACCTCTTCGGCACAGGCCGGGTCTCTTCGGCACAGGCCGGGCCTCGTCGGCACAGCTCGGGCCTCTTCGGCACACGTACCTGCCACACGTCTCGAACGTTTTTTTTTCTTCTAAATATCACACAACAAATCCATCTCTATCTATAGAAAGAAGTCAAGATAGATTAGCAATGAATCCTTTTTTGATTGGTCCCGGCGCGGCTACAAGTCTTGGCGAACGACCGAGAAAATCACCACCACGGCAAACGCCACGGACAAAATCTCAACCGTCAGGAGAACGACCAGAGCCTTGCCCAGCACGCCTGAGCACAGCCTTTCCCAGGCCGACGCGAGCACGCACACCTCGAAGGCCTTCTGCGTGGCGTAGCTGACGACGCCGACAACCACCAGGGTGTCCATGGCTCGCTGACGCTTCGACCCCGGCGACGACCTCCTGGCTCTCTCCGCAGAGGCTAGCATCGCTACGACCCCGGTCAGAGAAAACGCGGACAAGGCTACGCGTAGGTCTTCGTCGCCGTCGTCTTCAGCGAACGGCTCCCCCCAGACCGGCAGGAAGGTAGCCCAGGCGAGCAACGGCACTAGGGAGACAACGGTGGAGGCGAGGGACAGGGCGGCGAACTCCCAGCTCATGTAGTCGGAGTCGGTAGCGACCGCCGCCACGTGGTGGACCGGGTCCTTCGTGAGCGCCCTCGCGGTCGTTCGGCGGTTCGAGTTTCGGCTCAGGAGGAAGATGCCGGCGAAGAGGAAGAGGAGCTCGCCGGCCACCTCGAAGCTAACGGAGGCCAAGAAGTACCATTCTGCGGCGCGGGGACAATGGCGTTTAAACGTGGGGTGGTTTGGGAGTTTAGAAGTCTCTCTATGGCAACCCGCAAAGACAATACAGAGCAGCAACAGCAGCAGCAATAACAATCCTAGACAACAACAACAACAACAACAACAACAACAACAACAACAACTGCAACAGCGGCGCTCTGTCATACTGTTCAGCAGCTTTGGTCGAACCTCCTCTACTTGATCAACAATAGCACCACTTTCAGGCCTGCGGCCTGGATGCGCGCTCTCTGTTGGACTCACCGATGTACTGAAAAATAATCCTGTCAAAACAACTACAAAAGCCAACGCTTGAGCCGCTTTCAGCGGACTCTTCTTGCCTAACAGAAGCAACAAAGACAACCCCTTGGTTCTTACCACTACTCCCGAGCATTTCCATGTCCAGAGCATCTTATCGTGTGTCGGTTTCGGGCTATCAAGCCTTACCTTGGAAGGTGGTGAATGGGTCCGGGTTGGTAGCGACGTGGGCAACAGAGACAACTCCTGAGCTTTTCATTGCCTCCAGAGCATGTATCGTTCTACGGTGCTGTCAAGCCTTACCTTCAAAGGTGGTGAATCGGTGCAGGTTGGTAAAGACGTGGGCAAAAGCGTGTAATTGTGTGTCGATATGGTGCTGTCAAGCCTTACCTTCGAAGGTGGTGAGTCGGTGCAGGGTGGAAACGACGTAGGCGACTTCTACCACGGTTTCAACGAGACCTGCCGCCCCGAAGACTTGAACGGCAACCTCCATCGGCTGGGAAAGAGAAACAAACCGCGGGAACAAACGTGGAACATGAGGTCACTGGGCGCCGGGCTCATGAAACATATCACCTTAGCTCATGGAAAGGCCTCTATTTTGATACTTTTATCTTAAGGACACATCGCGGCCGGCTTCATGATTCCTCCTTCTTTCTACATGTTTTCAGGCGTGTAGCTTTCCATGGTCGGGCAGGGCCGGAGGGGTGAAAGGCGGGCATCAGGCATAGCTAGGGCACATCTGGTGCGAGCGAAAACGCTTGCCCACTGCTGTCTTCTAGTTCAACGACGTTCTGCAGTACACAGTGGAGTGGTCGTCCTACGAGTGGAAAATGTCCGCGGTACTCGCAGTTCGTTCTCTAGACCCAACGAAACTTCACAATCGGACTAACATACACGACACGAGACAACACACCCTTTGGGGTGATAAAAAAAGCTCGATTACTCCCCGACAAAGAGGATGCATAGACGAAACGATACGTTTGTCGGGAAGCTCTCGACCAGACGGCTTCAACGCCGCCGTTTTCAGCGTTGCGACTCTTTCTGCTGTTGAGAGACGCATCTTTGAAAATCGGCCCAGGGGGTGCGTTATCTTGTGTCATATATGGTAGACCATACGTTCGTGGTTCCGGTTTAGCGGTTCCCTCCCTGTTTAGCGGGATGCCCTGAAAAGCGATTCCAAAATCTCGTGGCACTGCCGCACCTCCGTAGCCAAACTACAATATAACTGCCAATCCGGTTCGGCGGCGATGCCCTCAATATCGTTTACAACATTTTGTGACATCATGGACCGCTGAACTGCGACGACGACTACGACTCTGTAGTTCTTCGAGACCAGCAAGTCGTGCACGTGTCAAAACGGAACAGAAGGAAAGGGCCTGCAGCTGTTGCAAAAGCTGTTACAAAAAGAAAGATTCTCCTACTTGGACGAAGAAGAAAGAGCAACGAGGATCTCACCAAACACGGCTCAGGATGGATCCTACACTTCACTCTATATATTCACCGGCGCTCGACGGTGGCGCCGAAACAAGCAACCAAATAATGTAAACGTCGACCCGATTTAATGTTTCCAAATTTACGCGCGCGATATGTTCACGACCCTTTGACTGCGTACCGTCACACACATACATTTCCATATCCAGAAGGTCGAATCTAAAATATTAAAGTGTGCAATGTGCGGGGTATATGTATCTATATCGGTATTGCTGCTGTTTAGAAGTTTCCAGTTTGAGGACGCAGTAATGACAATAACGTCCCTACAGATTTGAGCACATAGGATGGGACGGGATGATTTCTTCCCCGCTGGCATTCTCTAGAGGGGACCATCTCTTTCGCTGTAAACTTGTTTGCTAGCCATTCCCAGGCTGTTGAGGCGGGGCTCATGGCAAAGCTTGCTCGCGTGGCAGAGGCTTTTAAGGTCAGGCTCATGGTACCCTACCGTACGTCGCTCGATACTCAGGCGGCAGAACTACTTGCTCACCACCACTAACTATAATACTGCATGGATGCGCGAGGTGGCACCCAAGGATGCGAGAGATGGCACCGGGTGCGATCAAATGCTCATGCCTTGCTGTCTTTACCCTACCCTCGTGCCGTCTGGCCGGCCCCGGTGCAAAAAACAATTGAACCGTTCCAACTATCATGAATAGCCTTTTCCAAGGCACACCCAGTGCCATCTCTCCGAGCTGTGCCACTTTTCGCATCCTCACGGTAACTCCTCTTGCAGACAAAAAGTGTTGCATGGAACGAACTGGGCGTGCCCCTACTGCACTTCCAGAGCAGGCCTACCGTAAATGACACAAGATAACACACCCCCTGGACCAATTTTCAAAGCTCGATTTCTCCACGACGAACAAGATGCATAAACGAAACGATACATTTTTGGAAACTAATACCGTATATGACACAAGACATCACACCCGCTGGACCAATTTTCAGAGGTCGATTCCTCCACGAAGAAGATGCCTAAACGAAACGATACATTTTTGGAAACTAATACTGTATATGACACAAGATATCACACCCCCTGGACCAATTTTCAGAGCTCGATTACTCCACGATGAAGAAGATGCCTAAACGAAACGATACATTTAAGGAAATAAATATCGTATATGACACAAGATATCACACCCCCTGGACCAATTTTCAGAGCTCGTTTACTCCACGATGAAGAAGATGCCTAAACGAAACGATGCAGTTTCGGGAAGCTCTCAACGAGACGGCTTCAACGCCGCCGTTCTCGGTGCTGCGACTCTTTCTACTGTTGAGAAATCGAGATTTGAAAATCGGTCCAGAGGGTGTGTTATCTGGTGTCATTTACGGTATGCTTCCATGAACCCCATTACATTGTTGAAGAAAGAGGAGTGGCCAAAATCGGGTACAACCGGCCCCAACCCGGCCATTATCGGGTACACTTGTGTTTCACAGTCAGCAGCGCACTCCTTGGCGCCATCTTGATTGGCAGACGCCCGCCCTACCCGGCCCTGACCCTGTTCTCAACGGGTGCACCCGACCTTGGCTACTGACCCCCCGGAGGGTGCCCGATCTTACTCTTGCCTACCCGAAATGGCTGGGCTATTCGACCAACAGACCACCATCAGACCACGCTCACGAACACACGTCACCAACACACCGCACTCGAGTTCCGACGCTTCGGACGGCGGGCGGAGGCGGACCTAACGCGGCTAACGCGGCGGAACTCTCGTTTGAAGTGGATCAGTGGATCTCTCTCCTGCAACGCGGGGGAACTCTAGTTTAAAGTAGATCTCCCTCCTGCAAGTAGATCTCGCTCCTCAACCCACCAAGTCCAACCCACCAAGTCTCTCGTGGTTAATCTCGGCACTCGTGCCTGAACGGTAGACTGGCATCGGCAGATTATGAGCGATGAAGTATAGAACACCGCGGTCCTCGCGCAAGGCGCGTGCTACATCACCAGCCATCTTAGGACAGACAGCGTTCATGCTGCGTGTACCACCACTCTCTCTGTCTTTCCCCATCTCCTGTGGCAAGCCCGCAGTTCCTTGTCTCTCCCACGTACTCACGAGAGGTCGAAGTCAAGGAAGTATTATCGCTGTTTAATCTGAGGTCCCACGACATCCACTGCTTGCTGCTGCTGCATTACTGTACGATCCTCTTCCTACACATTAATGTGTCACATATCTCCGGCTTGATCGAGACATGACCACGGCATCCACTGCTTGCTGCTGCTGCATTACTGTGTACGAACGACCCGCTGCGTACACAACAACTTGCCATACATCTCCGGTCTTGATGTGTCTAGACTATACATGTATTCCAAACGAAAGCGACACCCTGATGCTTCTGTGCCTGATGCTTCCGTGGACATATCTGAGCTGCGTCATGTATTTGTGTGCAGCTCAAGTGATCACGTGAGGTATCGAGAGGTATTCATCCAACGCCACCCGTCTGACCCTCTCTCTCCTCCCTCTCCGATACGAAACGAGAACCGAGACAGTTCCGCCGTCGGCGGTGGGTTGTGGGTTGCAGGAGGAGTCTTGCAGGACAGAGATCCACTGATTCACTTCAAACGAGAGTTCCGCCGCGTTAGCCGCGTTAGGTCCGCCTCCGCCCGCCGTCCGAAGCGTCGGAACTCGAGTGCGGTGTGTTGGTGACGTGTGTTCGTGAGCGTGGTCTGATGGTGGTCTGTTGGTCGAATAGCCCAGCCATTTCGGGTAGGCAAGAGTAAGATCGGGCACCCTCCGGGGGGTCAGTAGCCAAGGTCGGGTGCACCCGTTNAAATAGCCCAGCTATTTTCGGGTAGGCGAGAGTAAGATCGGGCACCCCTCCGGGGGGTCAGTAGCCAAGATCGGGTGCAACCGGTGGGAATAGGGTCAGGGCCGGGTAGGGGCGGGCGTCGGCCAATCAGATGGCGCCAGGAGGGCGCTGCCAACTGTGAAAAACAAGTGTACCCGATAATGGCCGGATTGGGGCCGGGTGTACCCGATTTTGGCCACTCCTCTTGAAAAAAAATCGCCCCAAGACTATTCAACTACCAACAGCAGTGGTTGGCTAGGAGGAGGATTGCTAGTTCAAAATGGACACTTTTTGCAGAACTATGGTTCTGTGGACGACCCCCTTCGTCAAGAAGACTGCAACGCTCGAGACTTTCTGGTAACCACCCTTGCTCTTCAAACTGCAATGTCATGGTGAAGGTTGAGGTCAAGGGCGGATACTTGTAGTAGATTAGAGTGCCGAGGTCCGTCCTGGTTTTCAACAGCAGCAGCAGTAGTTTAGTGCTGCTCAAAGATTAGGACGAGGCTACACACCTTGAGTCCGTGTACTTACGCAGACTACAGTACCGAAAGAGGTGGGGGGATGGCAAGATGACACCCGCCCGCTAAAGACCGACTTTCAATACTCTATTGCGCCAGAAACAACCAAGTGGGTGCGGAAAGATCCCGACACGCCTACGGAAAGCCGTTTACGAGATGGGTCCAGATCACCATTTTATGGTGTTGGCACGAGCTTGGTTGTGGATCAATAGAGCTTTGAAAAGGATTTCTATCCGGGGGGATGCCATCTCGCCACCTGGTACGGGTAGACCAATCAATCTCTTCCCAAGAACGAAACATTTGGTCTAAAGGAGTATGATTGTTGTTGTTGTTGCTGTTGTTGTTGTCTTCACATTATAAACCGTTCCGATCTCTCTCTACCCAGTACCTTCGTATGTCCGTACTGATCCAACACTCGACGCGGTCGATTCCGGTGGTCGCAGGCTAACTTACCCTAAAAAGGTACATTCAAATGAAATGCCCCCGAGGGGTCCGCAAGTCAATAGAAATCAACGACAGATATTCTGGAGCCCTCCACTCCCTCTGCGCGCTATGCGAGGTAACAGCTGAGACTAGGGGTCACCATCACGTGCCGGAGAGAATGAGGTACACCCCCTTGGTTCAACCTTGGTACTTCACAACGCAAGCAGAAACAAGGCCATCTGGCACAGAAAAAGAGAGAAATGATGGACTGCTGTGAAGTGCACATACAGCAGTATTCTAGTGATGTACTGCAACTTCGACCAGTGTCCACAACGCACCCAGTCATGACCTTGATGTGTGCATACCGTCGAATTAATGTACAGTGTAGACAGCGTTTGGTACTATGCTCATCACTAAACACCAGGGGACAGACAGCGGCAGGCTCTTCCAGCCAAATCGATAAATCGAATCAACGTCCCTCCTCCTTCAGTGAAGAGACGTGTCCGACCCCACAGGTGACTCGTTGCCTTCTTACCTTGTGTGTAGCGTGTGCTCCGAACAACCCTCTCTCTCTGTTGTTGGGCAGAAGGATTTCCGTCGTTCCACCCCTCTCCGGATTGGAACAATTCCGATGTTTGTTCTTGTGGCGGCTTGTGTGACTTCTTGAAGCTTCCTGTGGATGCCAAGAGCAGGTGGCCGCGTTAGCCACGCACGCTAGCCTGAGGGTGCTTCGACGTTGGCCTCTACCAGATCTGTCCTCCCTGCAGAAGCACCTGGCTAACGCGTCTCACGATGTGTACTAGCTGGAAGTGCCCATCAAATGTGCGGGCCCGGTGTTCCTGTGGTGTATGTGGAATTGCTCCCCCTCCCAATTCTAAAGCTGCCCTGTTTGCTTGCAGCTCCCGGGAACACGCTGCTCAGTCGAAGCAGAGTTGTAGTAGCGTTGCTCGCAGTGTGTGGGTACTGGATTATGGGGCTTTGTGGATGGACCGTGTGCATTCCGTGCCTGACTTGTTGCTGTCAACCGCGCGTGCGTGCGTCTGCGGTGGTTTTTATTTGTTGTGTGCAGCAGGAGCGTACCGCGGGTCTGGTGTTCTCCGTTCTCGATTGCCCCAGTCCGCAGCACAATTCATTTGAGTAGAGTAGATCTTCACCCATGTGATGTGGTCAGGAATGACTTTCAAGTACAACCATTGGCCGATTCCGTCATGAAATTGCCCCGAGGCGAGAAGGTAAATCACGTGAGTTTTACAGGAAGCGCCATAAGAGGAGGGATCCTGTTGGTGTACTGTGGTCGCGCCTCTCGCATCACTCTCGCGCCCTCGCATGCCACATTTCCGCATCCGAACGCTTCGCGACGATGATTGGCTTATGATTACAGTCCCGTTCACCGAACCCACGCCTCACGCCTCCCAATCGGGTCCAGCCGGCCGCCACCCACACTTGCTCTCGTATGGGCACACGGCACACGAGACGGGGCTAGTGAATGCACCACGTGGAGCTGAGGTAGGCCCGGGGTGTCTGCTGCTTTGTTTCCGTCGGAATGCTTGTTTGCAACACAGGGAGAAATTGTACTGAGAGAGAGAGAGAGAGAGAGAGAGAGAGAGAGAGAGAGAGAGAGAGA